CCCACTCAATGCTGTCGGAGGTGGAGAAGCGGCTGGGTGTGGCGGTCACAGCCTCCAGGACGCGGCCCACGAAGTCCAGGTCGTGGATGGGCTCTGCCCATACGGGGCCGCCGAGCTGCGGGGATTGGGGGCACAGGTGAGCGGGGACCATCACCTCCGGGATTCCCACACCCTATAGCCTCCCTCGGCCTGGGGCTACCTGGTGTCGCTGCCCGCAGTGCTCACACTCGGGCGACACTGGGGGACCGCAGGCTGCAGAGAACTTGACCCTGCACGGAGAGGGGCGGTTAGGGGGAGCGGCCTGCCCGGAACACCCCTTTACCTTCCTCCCTGCACCCCGTTGCTCACCGGCCGCCGGGGGCTCCGGTCGCTTTGCCGAGGCGTTGAAGGTGGAAGGCCCCGCAGCCCACACACTGGAACACCAGCGCCTGCTTGCTGCGGGGTGCGGCGGGGGGCGCGAGTTCCCAGGGTGCTCCCCACACCCCTCCTATCCCTCAGACTGACTGGGTCCCTGCAGACTGGGCAGCTCCCCCCTCCACCCCTACACGGGCTGACCTGGCCGAGGCCTTGACCTTGGCCTGCCCGGTGAAGACGCGCACGAAGACGCGTACGTAGAAGTCGGCGCTGAGGCTGAGCAGGGGCACCACGAAGCGCTGGTAGCAGTTGGCGCGGAGGTCCAGGCTGTGCAGGACGATCCTGAGGGCCTGCGGGTCAGAGCCGGGAGTGGGCGCCAGCCTTCGCTTCACTGCCCCCTGGGCTCCGAGCTCCGCCCCGTGGGACCCTCAACACGTGAAGCCTGCCCTTCTGTGCCTCAGTTTCCTCACCTGCAAAATCACCATTAGTCCCTGTGTCTTTGGGACTGTGTTGGGGACATTAAGTGACAGAGGAACACACTTGCCTGGTAAACTGATCCTGTTCTGAAGCCACCAGGAGGTGTAGTGGTTATATTGCTGGACTCACGCATGGGCCAAACGCAGTTCAATTCCCGGACTTGGTGGCTTGATAATCACGCAAGCTTGTGTGCATGCATGCCCAAAATCCCAGGAAGAGGATAGAGGAGAAGGGACTGTGGTGTGGACATTTCTCCAGGGGGTGATAACTCCCTTTCCCTCTTGCTGTCTCTGTCTCTCTCTCTCTGGCAAGCACATGCACAATATAGCAAAAACCTCTCAAAAAAAAAAAAAAAAAAAAAAAGATATGCAGGCCATCAACAATACAGGGTATAAGACCAGCAGATGATGTAATGGCTATGTTGCTGGACTCCCATGTAGTCGACTGCAGTTCGAGTCCCGGAACTGGTGGCTTAAACTCCTCCTGGCTGTCTGTGCGTGTGTGCCCAAGATCCCAAGAGGAGAAGGGATTGCAGCATGGCTGTCCCCCCTGGGGGTTGATGTCTCGCTTTCTGTCTCTCTGTCTCTGTCTTTCTGGAGAGTGCATGTGCCCTATAGCAAAAACCTCTTAAAAAAAAAAAAACAAGTCCATTAACAACCTAGGGTAGAGCGGGCCCTGGCTGCCTGCAGGAGGCTGAAGCAAGTCTGCAGTGTGTGTGTGTGGGGGTGCTCTGAGCCTGCCTGCTACGTCGCTGGAAGCTGGGAGGGCCCCTCACCATCTCGTGGCAGGCCCGGCTCTTGAGGGCCATGGCCCCGTACTTGCTGTAGCAGGTCTCCCGGGCCCCCGCTCCACGCCCAGGCGTCACCCAGCTTCACCTCCTTCACTCACGGCCTGCACGGCCGCATCCAGGAATGAGGCAGGGCTGCCGGAGGGGGCCAGGGCGATGACGTCGAACCTCTCGGACGCCTTCTGGTGCTGGTACATGAGCATCCTGGGTACGAGACGGCCAGGTCCTCAACCTCCTGCCTTAGGCACTGGCGCTGTCCCTCACGCACGGCACTGCTTTCCGTGGGGCGGCTCTGGCCTGCACTCGGGCCGCTTTTCCAGGCTCAGGTCCTGGCTTAGCCACTTTATTATTTTATTTTATTTATAAAACACTTTTAGTTTATTGTATTTATTATTATTATTAAACTGGCTATAGGGCACATACACTCATCAGAGAGAGGAGAGAGAGAGAGAAAGTGAAAAAGCAAGCTGCCTGGTCTGGGACTTGAACCATGGTCAGCCATGTAGGAGTCTAGTGCCTTTAACTACCACACCACCTCCTGTCTCTAATGTATTTAATTAGTTAGCTAACTTTTTTTTTTTTTTGAGAGGTTTTTGCTATAGGGTGCATGCGCTCGCCAGAAAGACAGAGAGAGACAGAGAGACAGAAAGCGAGAAATCACCTCCCAGGGAGGATGGCCACACTGCAGTCCCTTCTCCTCCAGTCTCCTCTGGGGATCTTGGGCACACACACATGCATGCACATTTGCCCAGAATGGGTCCAGAACTCAAACTATGGTTGACTACGTGGGAGTCCAGCACCTTAGCCATTACGCCAACTGCTGGTCCTTATTTTATTTTTAAAAAGATTTGAGACCAGCAGATGGTGTAATGGTTACGGTGCTGGACTCCCACGTAGTCAACCATAGTTTGAGTTCTGGACCCATTCTGGGCAAATGTGCATGCATGTGTGTGTGCCCAAGATCCCCAGAGGAGACTGGAGGAGAAGGGACTGCAGTGTGGCCATCCTCCCTGGGAGGTGATTTCTCGCTTTCAGTCTATCTCTCCAGTGAGTACATGCACCCTATAGCAAAAATTTCTAAAAATAATTAATTAAATAATAATAATAATAATAATTGGGGCCGGCAGGTGGTGTGGTGGTTAAGAGCGCTGGAATTCCACGGGGCCCACCATGGTTTGAGTCCTGGACCTGGCACCTTGTTTTCTTGCTTTCTCTCTCTATTTCTTTCTCTCACTCTGTCCCTCCCTGGTCAAATTAAAATAAATGGATAAAGTTAAATAAAATAATTCTTTAAAAAAAATAAAAACTATTGGGACCAGCAGTTAGTGTAATGGCTATGTCGCTGGACTCCCACGTAGTTGACCGCAGTTCGCGTCCCAGACCCGGTAGCTTAAAACTCACGCATGCACATGCGTGCCCAAGATCCCAAGAGGAGAATGGAGGAAAAGGATTCTGGCATGGCCATCTCCCCTGTGGGTGATTTCTTGCTTTCTGGCTCTCTGCCTCTCTCTGTCTTTCTGGCGAGGGCATGCGCCCTGTAGCAAAACCCCCCCCCCCCCCCAAAAAAAAAAATTATTTACTGGGACTATCAGGTGGCGTAGTGGTTAAGCCCCTGGACTCCCACAAGAGGAGAACAGAGAAGGGACTGTGGCATGGCTACCCCATCTGGGGAGTGATTTCTCACTTGTCCTCCTTCTGTGTCTCTCCGGCAAGCATCCTATGGCAAAAACCTGGAGGGAATAAACATGAAAAAAACTGCTGTCCTCACTTGACCTACAAGAAATCTGGGACTTCAGGGGCCTAAGTCACTTTTCCAAGGTCACACAGTTAGAATATGACAGAGCCAGGATTGGACCCCGAGTAGAACTGATTCGGTGTGCTGCCACAAACCTACCGGGCATCTGAGTGGCTGGGCTGTACCAGGTGAGCCACGTCATTAAGTTGAACGTTACGGCGCATGAGATCCACAGCCCGGGAAGAGGCATCGTTGGCCACAACAGATCGAAGCCCTGGCACCTCTCGGGCAAATCGAATGGATCGGAGGCCCGAAGCAGCCAGGCCTTCTAGCACCCGCAAGCCTTCCTGTTGGAGTAGGCAGGGAGCCCTGATCACATTTATATATTTATACATCTGTCTTCTTCCAGGCTCCAAAGAGCATCCCACCACCCACTCCCAACCTGGGTCCTTCCTCTATCACACACTGGATCCCTGGGTTGCCATCCCCCATGCTCAGGTCCCACCTCACAGATCTTCCCCACGGCAGCCGTTGGAGGTTGGTCTCCTGGGGCCGGGTTTTCATCCTCTTTCAGTTCAACCTTTGCTTCCTCTTGCTCCGACAAGTCCACGACCACCTTGGGCATGTCCTTCTCACCTGGCACCTGGACTGCAGGTATCCAGGGGCACAAGTCAGGCCATATAAAAGCGCCCCTCTATGAAACCTCCCCGACATGATTCACGGAAGAAAATCTTCTCCAAAAATCCCTGGGGGAAAGGGTGAAGGCCCTGGAGCCTTTCTGGAATTTGCAAAAAAAAAAAAAGGGAGAGGCAGGGAGAATGCTGTGTGACCCCGCCCACCAGGAGCCAGGACCTCCACTCACTCCGGATTCCTTTGGCCGCAAGTTGAATGCGAGCGAACTCTGTGATCACAGCACATCTGGTGGGAGACGGAGGACCAGCTCGTACCGCCTCATCCTCACTGACCCACTCCCCTCTGCCAAGCCGACCCCTGATCCCTGCTCACGTCAGGTCCCGGTTGAACTCCTGCACCGGGTTGTAGAAGACCTCGTTGGCGCTAGGGAAGACGATCTTGGCGGCCCCTTCAGTGACTGTTGTCTCCTGAGCCTCAGGTGGGCGCTCTTCTCCGCAGGGCCCGGTGCCGTTCTCCATCGCTGCCGGATGGGGAGGTCCCAGGGGCTGCCCTCCAATAAATCGGGCTCTATATAGACGGCGGGCGGAGCGGAGAGTAAGGCTTAGCCAGAGAACGATCTTCGCATGGGACATCCGCGAGCACCTCTGCCCGCCCAGCCTGCTTCAAGGGGAGAGGAGGGGACAGAGAATCAGCCGCTTTCCGGAGCCGAGAAGAACCCACATGTACAGCTACAAGGTGGCGGTTAAAGCGACCCAGCGGCCTCCGCAAGCCGGCACCCCATTTTCGGGGAAATTAAAACCTGCCCCTAGTCCGGGTCCCTCTCCGCGCCTCCCAGGCTCTCCTCACCTACCCTTAGCGGCACACGGAACCGAATTAGTGTAGGTGCACGTTTCCCGGATTAGCACCTGGGCGCCGCCATGTTGACACGGCGGGAGGGCCAAATCACGTGATAACATCCAGCCAATTAGTGATGGTCTCTACGGTGGGTGGCCGGGATCAAAATACACTGTAGAAAGGAAGCGCGCTGGACGTGCGGAGCGGGTGGTCTTAAATCCCAAGCAGCTTCCCTGGGAGGGGAGTCGTCATTTGTCCCATTTCACAGATGAGGAAGCTGTGGATCAGAAAAGGGGCGGTAAGCGTGGAAACGAAACACCTGTTGGTGATCCTCTGTGTGCCGGGTGCATATTATTTTAGAACATCCTGCAGAACTAACTCACGGTCTGGAATCGAATTGACTGGGTTTGAATCCCAGACCCACCCCATGACCTGGGCAAGTTACTTAGAGCTTATTTAGAGCTTAGGGCTTTATTTTTCCTTCCCTGTGGAAGAAGAATTTTAACTTCCAAAGTAAAACAAAGCTAAGTGCCAGAATGGCTGAAAAGTGTGTTGGCGTGGCAAATCACATTGGAATCTCTCAGGGATATGAAAGCCGGAGATCATGAAAAGGTCCCGCCTGCCTGGGTTCCAGTCTCAACGGGCCTTATTGTGTGTTGTTAATCCTGACGTTTCCCCATTTGCAAAATGGGCAGAACTTTTTCATCTCGTTATTGGGTTGTGGTGGGAATCAAACAAGTTGGTGCAGGTAAAATGCTAAGGGAACCTGGCATCCTGTAAGCGTCACAGGAGTCTTCCTGTAGCTGTTATTGTCACTTCTTGAACCTGGGTTTAAATCCTGGCACCCTGCCACTACTTCCTCGTGGTATGATCCTGAGCAGGTTTCTTCATCTCTCTGTGCCTCTCTTCATTTTCTATAGTGTGTGTGCACACGCACGCGTGCATATGTGTAATGTAATAGTTTCTACTTAAAAATGCCACTGAGGGACCAGCAGGTGGCGTGGTGGTTAAGGTGCTAGACACTCCCACTTGGTTGACCAGGATTTGAGTCCCAGACCTAGTGACTTTCACACTTTTCCTCTCTCTCTCTCTCTCCACCCCCTTCTCTCTCTTTGGTCATGTTAAAAAAAAATAAGTGAATGAATACATAAAATTAAATCTTTTTTTTAAAAATGCCGCTGAAATTTAAGAGCTAGTTTCCACCAAGAGCCTAAAAGAACGCTGGAATAATAAATAGCACTCGTTATTGTTTTTGTTTTCGTTTTCATAGGAAACTAAAGTTCGGAAAGGCAGAGCCACTTGGTCAGGGTCGCAAGACTAGAAGGTGGCGGGGTCGGGATTCGAACCAGTCCGCACAGCACAACCGAGGTACTGGCGTGGATCTCTCCCTCCGGAGGACGGAGGGAGGAGACAAGAGTTGCGGAGCAGGGGCGCGCTCGGCGCTCGGCTGGCCTGGCCTAGGGGGCGGGACCTGGGGGCGGGGCCGC